CACATGATTATTATTATAATGAATATGAAAATTTAATTTCGTTAGTAAGTCACTGATAGGTATTATTAATCAATATTTTATTTTAGAATTTATTTTTAGATTTCAGGTTTTAACGAGTTCAAAAGGAACCAATAAATCAATAAGGATTTAATCGAGTTAAAAACTTGAAAAGGTGAAAGATTGGAGTTTGAAGTTGTGCAAGTAATCACTTAATCGATAGAAAGCACAAGAATGTTTCTTTCGGGAATAAAGTACCTGAGAAATTTCATAAGGAGATGTGGAAGTTAAAGATAAATTTTGGAATAAAGATTAATAATAGGAGAACACCAATGTATTGTCCGGGGTTCATCTGTGTGGTATGGGTTACCTCTGAGTTTGGATTTTGGATGAATGCTCGAGATTGGAAAATTTTTATTCTTCGATATTAAAGATTATAACGTATGGGTTACGTCAAATCTGGATACCCAGCTCAATAACGTACGAATTGCTTTGGGGACGGGGAATAAAGATTGTAAAGACACCTACTATCAAGAAACGTTGAATGGATAAAATGGGACAAACCTGTAAACTATCATGCTTTGACCGAAGGGAAAAAGATAGAGATAAGCCCAGTATAGGTCCACCAATTTAAGAAAGTTGGTTTAGATGAGTTTTATGGATAGCTGATGACTTTTGAAACTGGATTTCGGAAGATTAGATTCACCCGTTAAGAGACGAGTCGGCCAACGAAGGAGGAAAAGACTGATATGTTGTATTGTTACAGGTCCTAGGCTACATTTCAGATGAGGGTTCCTGGTGTAGTGTCCTAGTTCACGCTTTCATTACAATGTTCCGTTAAAAGAAGAAAAAAAATAGAAGGATATTTACACATTAACGAGCCGTATAATGAACATTACGTGCAGTATTTAATAATAGAGTAAAATCCGAAAAGAAGGACATTTATTTAAAAGAAGAACATTTATTTGAAAAGGAATATTTATTTGAAAAAGAACATTTATTTGAAAAGAAAGACATTTATCTGAAAAGAACGACATTTTGTGTGTTATAGATTAATTTATATAATATAGAGTATATAGTGAGAAAGATTTATGTGGACGATAAGAAAGATTGGAAATTCGCAAACTTTAAAAGTTATGAAAATTTTGGAGTTTGTGATATGTGAAATTATGGATCTTGGTGACAAAAAGAGGTGATAAGTAAAATTATGAATCACGGTGACGAAAAGATGTGACATGTGAAATTATGGAAATCGGTGATAAAAGACAAATTTTAGGGCGCAGTAAAAACCTCCGCAGCCTGAGGAGATTGTGGACTTAGGAAAATTTTTGAAATTTTAAGGCGCAGTAAAAATTAATAGTAAAATATGGCATAGTAAATATATAGAACCGAAAGATGGAATCGAAAGATTGGAAGAAGTGATCTATTTAAAGATAAAAGAATGCTTAGAAGATTGAAAATAGAAATGATAAGATGGATGAATGATATGTTTAGATTAGGAGGAACGGTATGCAAAGATTGTGAAGAAGAAGATATCGATGAAATTGATGGTTGGGTAAAAGATTACGGAAGATATTCGAAGAAATAATTAGAATGGATTTGAAAAGAATGAAATATGATGTAGAAATAACGGAAATTGAAAGAACAAGAAAATTTGGAGTAACTGCAAAGATAATAACAACATATGAAATTATGAGGAAATATTTAACAATATGGAATCTTGAAGATGAAGTGGAAGAGGATATAAAAGGACCCGAAATTGGCTCGAGTAAAAATCAAAAAGCAAAAAGGAATGCAAGAGTGAATATGACAGGTGAATATGATGACCAAGAAAAGTGTGATTATAATGAAAATGGATATGAGGAACCACAATACGATGGAGTATATTATACACAAGGATATTACGATGATTATGAAGATGGAGAATTAAATTATCATAGTGAATTGTATGCAAAAGATAACGCAGTAAAAACAAGAAGACAAACAAGAAGGACGAATCCAACAGTGGGATATAAAAATAATAATGAAGAAGGAAATTTACAAGAAGAATTAAGAGGAGCAGGAAGTAGAATGGATGATAGAGAAATACCAAGTGGTACAACGACACCAAATTATATACCTGAACGAACTGAACAGAATTGGGATAAACCGATAGGACCACGAAAAATGAAATGGAGTAATAAAAGACAAGATTATTATGACCCAACAGAAGGACTAAGAAAATGGAGAGAAGCAGGAGGACCAACAAAACCCAGAGAGTATGGACCAAGATTAACTGATGAAATACGACCTTATGACATTGAGGGAGACGTGAAAAATTGTAGAGCGAATATAACATATGGACAATTAATAAATGAGAGTACAACTTGGTGCGAAAGATGCGAAATAAGATGGGTAATGGAATTACAGCAATATAATTTTGAAGTAATACATAGGTCGGGAAAAGAAAATACGAACGCCGACGCATTAAGTAGATTATTAAAGATAGTAGAGGATCAACCAGAAATAGTAATAATTGACGGGGTAGATGGATTGGGAAAAACAAGTATAGTACAAAATTTAATTAAAGAATGGGAAAAACAAGGATTAAAAGTAAGATTCAATACTTATAAAAGAAGAAGAAAAGATAAAGATGAATTTCACGAATCAAAGATGGATACAGAATGGAAATTTAGAAAAGAAGTAGTGGAACAAATAAATAGAAGAATGTTAGAATATGATGAAGATACAGATATAATAATTTTAGACAAATCACCATATTGTGAATATTATTATCAAAAGACGAAAAGTTTTGACAGAGGATTAATT